TTAAACTTGCAGGGGGGGGGCTATTCCCTTCGACATGCATTCCGGTATTATTGTTCCCAATGACCCCCTCCAGTTTGTGTACAAGCCAAATAGATGCACGTTGGACGCTGTTTCTTCAATGGTGCACTTTATTGGTAAATATTGAGATGATCCTCAAAAGTCCGTTCGTTGTATTTTCCATGACTATTCTTCGGCTTTCGATTCCGCTCCACCATCTCTATTCTTCTGCGAAATTTGCAATCAATCGGTTGCCGCCCCAACTTATTATCTTGGTTGAAAGGTTATTTCACAAGAAGGATTCGAAGAACGAACACAAACGGCACTAGTTCAAAATCGTCAGTCAATGTATCTGAAGTCCTTCACGGTACTGTTCTCCCTCCTTACTTATTTTCAACTTTCATCAGTGACTTACTCTCAATCCCACCAGCCAAGACCTTTAAGTATGCTGGTGATGTGGTCTTGTGTCAAGCCATTTCGAAACAATCTGACATAAAATCATTTTTCGACAGTTTATTACAAGTGCAATCATTCTCGAACCAATCCAGTCTCCGTTTGAATACTTTTGAATGCTTCGAATAAATTTTTACTCTTTCGCGATCCGAATATCCCTTTGAACCCTCATTCATCAATTCCGTACCCATCACCAGAACACATACCACGAAATAACTAGGAATTACCATAGATAGCAATCTACGGTGGTCTTCTCATGTGCTTGTTTGTGTTGGTAAACTGCGTCGCTTATCTTTCCAAATGTACAAGATACGACAATTTCTAGTGAGGCATGAAACTACAAAATGGTTTGTTTAACAAAGTATTTGTCCTGTCATACTTTATTGTTTGCCCGTTATTTTCCCTGGACTACTTAGAAAGGACTTCATGGCTGTTCGTCGGGGTTTGGTAATTATCAGCCGTGTTTCTCTTATTCCTTTAAGCACTCTGATCACAAGATTGTGTAATTTGCTTAGCACTTCATGCGAGAATTTGTATATATATTAAGATACTCAATGACTCCAGTCATCCGCTCAATCCCGATTTATCTGCTTGCCGATCCCACGCGCTACAACCCGATCCAATTTTCGTTGCTTACCCTCCCGCATAAACATTTGTTGTAACTGAGCAGTACCCTGCCTGGCTCGTTTTCTCACTGACACGATAAAGATCCGTAACAACCTAATTTTAAAGCTTCAATGATGAACACCCATTTCAGTTTTATCATTGTTCTATATGAATTTTCATTTCCTTTTTATCCCATTTCAACGATGAACACATTTTTTTTACTGAAATATAGACGCAGTTGACTGCACAAGTCATCTATAATAAAATACAATGATACAATAAAATACTATCAAACGGCAAAGCAGCTCATAAAAAGATTGTCATTTGATCTGCAGAAGTGAGCACATTTAGGCGGCGCTAGTGACGTTTTTGAAAAGACAACCTCTGGGTTGATACGAAAGAAATATACGCAGCTTGACTACCGCCACCGAAATAGAATCAGTTTCAGTTAATTGTTTTTCTTTCACAAGTCTGGGTCTTTAGGTTTTCAACATTCAGTTTCACGACGGTACCGACTACGTCTGATCTTTTCGCACAAGTCATTCTTAGGCACACTGCACCTTCGTTTGCCCCTTCAAGCTTGGTATTGCGTGTTTTGTTTAATGTGTCCCGTTCACTTTCATCTACGTATGCCTCCCTTTTGGGGGACCTCACGATCGCTTAGATTGTTCGTCCCATTCGGTGACCCTCGTGAACTGAACCGGTTCCTGAAAGTACAGTTGCTTTGTACAGTCACGAATGCAACCCCCGGATGTTTATTATCTATCGTTCAGTTGAAGTCTTTGAACCTCTCAGTGCAATCTTGCCGATGATTATTCTTTCGATTTCTCCTCCTTTCCTTCTCCTATATCAACCGACTCTTTTAGTGTGTGATAAATTATTTTACTGCTAGATTTCATATCAGAAAGTTTGGCATGAGCGTACCTTGTCTACTGGAGTTTTTCACAGTGCTATTCTTCCTCTGAAGTTATTCACATTTTACATTAGTCTTTTAATTGTTCCAACACCTGGTAAATGTTTTAAATAGTCTGGTGAACCTGTACTATGTCAGGCCATTTCAAATCATTTTGATTTCCCTCTCCCAACTGATAATACCATTGCCAATGAAGATTTTTCTCCACAATCAAGCTTTAGCGTGTTGAGTTTCCCTCTACTCTCTCTCTCTCTCTCTCTCTCAAGTTCTTCCTAACCCAATATAAATTTAACTTTGGCTTATCCAGCATCCGTGGCTTTCCACTTCCTCTTCAATGAACTGTCTTGTTACCTAACAGTGATAGCTGCATTTTGCTCACAGAAGTTTCACTATTCGCGCACATACACACACAGACACACGCTATCTCGACTTGTCTACCTGTTGAACTCTTTCTTCAATTAGGCCAAAATTTTGAATTGCTCCTGCGAGAATTAGCATCTAACAAAGTTCCCCTGTTCCATATTCAATCCGTATCCATGTTGACAAAACCAAATAGATAACTGAGTTGCAATTGAGCTTTTTCTGTTCAGTATATTTCTTTTCTCGTCCCGTGATTGTGCTGATAGTGTCTATTTTTTCTCGTCTGCCTAAAATGTGCGCATAGGTGCTCACCTCAGTCGGTATCAAGACAATACAATACAATACTTTTCCTCAAATTCATTTGTTTATTTTTGATTGACATCAAACTACCCGATTTAAGGAGCAAAAGCACGTTGTGTTTTCTTCATAGTTGACATAATTATAATTAAGCATCATTTATATACTATAGAACAATAATACTGTTTCACATCAAGCCTGGATACAACATCTCAATCGTTGACCTTGATTTAGCTTGAATTGAAATCTAACATTTCGTCACATGATCGCACACACATGTATGGAGACAGAGAGAGAGCGAGAGTGCGAGAAAGAGTCGGTCAGCATCGAGTGGATTGGGAACGACTCAGGTGTGCGCCGATTCCACTTCTAAAGCATTTCCAGCGCTCAATTAGCGCAAACCTCACAAGCATAAATACTGGTTTTCGGCCGATGTGCACGATGTGTCACGAGAAACATGGCACAGAACGAAGCAAANGGAGTGGGCAAGCGATCGGAATGACGGGAAGGAGCTTGAGGTAGCGGGGCGCAGGTAGGGAAGAGTACAGCTGCCGTGTTTCAGACACGCGATTAATAGTCTGCCGGGGTTTTCCAGATTAGCACAGCAAATCGGCCTAAACAAAAGTGCAACATGAACCCGGGTAGGTAGTTGAACCAGGCTAGCTGTTGATTAATCGAGATGATAATTTGCCACGCACGACCGTGAACGCTTTCCAAGTATTTTTTCAGATTCTTAACAGCTGTATCCAATTGTCCGACGTTGATATTTGTCTCCTGACCGGCTTGTCGNCAGTAGTATTTGATAGATTCGCAATTTGATATTGATATCCATGTCGTCATGAACCATTTCCAAATCTGGTGGGGTCAATTCTTCCAGTATATGTGTGGTGCGTCGGCGACGGAATTCCCGTCTGCAAAGCGAGAGACAGAGAGAGCGGGAGAGAATACATGCATGTAGCGGTAAATTGTCACCCCAGCCATCAACTTCCGTCCGTATCCCATAAAGTTTGTTACAATTTTGTTGCACGGTCAACGCAACACGGAACATTCAGTTCGATATAATAATTCTGAGAAGTACAGTAAAATCTCTCCACTAAATCTGGGTGAATTTTTCCGTACACTGATCTTCCCCCCCCCCGTGGTTACCTCACATCAGGGAACGGAATCCAGGTTTCGCAGAAAGCGTTATGCAACATTTCCCAGGGATTTAGAGTAACAAGCATGGATTACTCCATTCAATTGTTCAGAGGCATCAGGCATTCTTGATGGCCTTCAGTGTGGGTTTCACTCCTTATATTGTTACTTCCCCACTGGGTAATGCATTTAAATGCGATGGAAATGTTTGAGAGTGCCTAGTACCTATGAACAATCGAATGGGCTAGTTCAAGCTTGTTACTTTAAATTTAGTGAGCCATTCACGCAAGGTGTTGACCGTCGACTGTGTAGCTCAGGGGTAAGAGTTTGAAGTCCTGACCCGCCTGTTCGCGGTTCGGGTCCTGACACAGAGATACACGAAGTACGTACACTGCGGACGAGTCCAAAACAGGACGAAACAGCTGTTCAGTGCTTTTTGTCGGTCATCACACAAACATTGCCATTGCATTTGGATTTCCCAGCGATCCCTGAAATAAAAACAACTTTGTACCGAGACACCATTCAAGATCAACAAGGCTACAGAGGCGGCACACATTTGGTTCCGTCGAATAAAACCACACAGAGGTAAGGAACCAGCCAGTTCGATTGGTTAATGCTTGGGAATAGAAACCACTCATACATTGGTTCGAATCCCCGTGGACGAATCTTATATATAGTATTTCCAATGCTTTGGTCAATAAAATTAGCAATAAAAAAACAGCTAACAAACCCGGTAAAGCTGCTTAGAAATTGCATTCAACTCAAGGATAATGGTGAATAGTGATTTTGGATAAANCAAAAGTGGTGCATATCTCCCGTCCCGTCCGTGCTCTGAGCTGGTTGGCACAGTAGCAAAACAAGCCTTCCATACTGTTTGGGCACCTTCAGACTTTCCTTGACTACCCACGATACCCGTTCCCCTGGAGAGGTCACTCCAGTAAATAAACACGATGAGGGGCAGTTTACCGGTCAGGATACCTCGTTAGATGTACGTAGCTGCGGGCTACCCGGGGCTTCCTCTCGACGGTCTTCGCATTTCATTGGACAGCTACCGCCAAACCCAAGTTGGATTGTCCCCAAGCCAATAAGGTGCCGTCCCGTCCACGTTCCGCTTGTCTCATTCAATGCCTGAGACTAAGAGTCAATCCCGAAAAGCGGATCGATATTCAACGCACCAGCGAACAGAACAGTGAACCGAAACCCAAAAGCTTTNAAAAGCTTTGCGTGACAGGTCTCTGGAAGTTCTCACACTGGTGCTTTGGTCACGAAACCCGCATTGGATCTACGCCCCAGTGCCTTGTGGGTCAGACTTTTGAGTTGAACGCTACGGTTAAGGTTCCCGAAGAAAACCCATACATTCACGATTTCTTCGGATCAGACTTTGGACAAACCTCTTTCCCATTTGAAAGGTCTTTAAGTCGCCCTCGGACAAGTTAAGTAACAGAAGACTTTTCCTGCAAACTACAGGTTATCATCGTTGTGCTTGGAAAAGAATCCCCCGATAGATACTTTGATTGAAAATTTAAAAAAAAACAATAACTAAAGCTAGCGGAAATATAGAAGGCACTCAACACGCTGACCTTAATAAGGAGGTTATTAAAATCCTGTGGATGATATATGTAGGGCAAATTAACAGCGGACCCAGAAATGCTTTGTCGAGTTACTTATTTTACCGTTTGTGTGAGGAACAAGTTGATAAATGGCAGTTGAATACGTTTACGGAGAAACTAGCTGTAGAAAGACTCACACATTCTTCGGAACTAGGCCCAATGTGCGACAAAATTGTTCCATTGTGATGATACCGGACTGTTCCCGGTCAAACACGGACATGAATGTCTGGCGGAAGAAATGGGTACAGAGGACGAAAATACAAAACAATGTTACGGTCATCCACAAAAACAGACTTGATTGCTTGTAGGCCCTGGGCGTTTTGCTAGATCAAGCAGTGGTTAATGTGTCAACAAACAAATGATGGATAACAAGCTGTAGTCTGGGAGCTTAGCTCTCACCTGTGACCCCAAGAAGCTATCCGGATGCAACAGCGGCCACACCCCGGTAAATCGCTCGACAGGCGAGTCAAACCATGGTGAAGGTAATCGGGGGCTCAATGCCTGGCGATTCGGTGTCCAACGTACGTGTTGTGCAGACGAATTCGGTTTCACAACTAAACGGTCGAGACAATGACTCCGTACTCATCAAGGATGCGTGGACTCCCGTTCAGCTAGGAACTGTCAACGGCGAATGACCTCTCCTCCAGAGGGCAACCAGCAACCATGTGCTACCTTCCTGCTGCCTTGTAGTTAGCACTTAGATGGACAAAAGCTAAAGCTGCCACCTCGACACAACGCCAGGTGACCTGGAGACGTTTCCTGTAACTAACTCCCAGGAACCAGAAGCCGTAAACCAAAGTAAAGTAGGCGGTAGTGGAGCGGTCTAATTTGATTGTGTTGGCTTGTGCCCGCCTCGAAGGTTTGATGTCTGGATAGTTCTATAAAAAACTGCTATACTGAGACATTTACTGGCCTTGATTTGGATGGACAGAATAAGCCAGCAATACCAGCGGAAGAGAATTTTCTCTCTTCAAAAAACTTCTACTCAAAGGAGAAGTCATTTATGACAGGGTCAATAGAGTGTTATTCACTGCAGCAAAATTCACCCTTAAATGCTCTGCAGCTAAAATGTATGTTCTCTACGTCAGAAAACGATCAATGCCATAACAAAGTTGCGATGCTCACATTGATTTCAGCTATGAATATCGATCAGTTCAGGTGTACTTGTTGTGCAACTTACTTAGATCGAACGAAACGGCAGTTATCGCAACGGATCAAGGAGCACAATCCACATTGGCTTTCACTCGTGGAGCGGGGTGGTCCTGTGTCAAACTCAATTTTAACAGAGACGAGGCAATCGGTTGACATGCGTTCGGCATTCACATTTGTTTATCGAGTCTCAACACACCCATCGAGAGCGATATGGCTCCGCGACTTAAATAGCAGCTCCCCCAAATCATGTGTTCAATTGTGCACATTGTGTGAGATTAATTCACACTCACATTCTGCGAAATTATTAACCAAAAGGTTGGCCGTCGCCCAGCTCAGCACCATATCCACCCAATTGAAGATTTATGTGCTTGTTCAGTTCATCTTGGACAGTAAGCTACTGATTTTCCTGGGTGGATAATAGGTGTTGGTTATGAAGTAATCAATNNNNAATCGCATTTATTATTTCTCAGTTTCAGAACTACAGTACAAAACGGAATAAGAAAGCCAACCATCGAAGTAACAATTCAGATTGACTCGTACTACCGGAAAACTAAGGTGGAATTGCAGTCTGTATGTGTGTGGGGTGGGGGGGGACCGTACCTCTGGGAAAGAGTCTTCCAAATTGTGCTTTGCATTGTACGTGTGCAGGTCATTCAACGACACGAATTCCCGATTGTCCTCATCCAAGGCACAAAATGCCTCGATGAACGACTCCATCTGGAATTGGAGAAACAACGGAGAATGTGGATTTGTTTCTCTCTCGTATAAATTAGGGGACATGTTTTGTGTAGATCAGAAGCGTTTGAGACCAATGAATTCCGGATTAGTGATTACGTTCCATAATTAAACTCAGTCTTTTTCACAGCGATGAGATCATTTTAGACTGCTTTCCTCAGTGTGTTCATTTACATAAGCCATGAGCTTTGAATTGTCGAACTGGGTCATTTTACATCTTTTAATGTCATTCGAATCTGGCATTCGTAATGAATACGGACAGTTTTGTATAAGACAGAAGAGACTTATACAAAAGGGGTTCGGTCTTTAAGAATCGGAAATTGAAGAAGAACTCCGAGAATTTAGAAGAACCGCACTTAGAGATCAGGTGAAGTCATTCACACTATAAAAAAGAACAGATTTACGCAACTGTGATGAAGTGCCGACTAATAGGATACACTGATTCATTCACTAGTAAATGGTTTGTGTTGTGTGAAGTTTAGACCACAACATATGTCACTATTCAATAGTTCATAGACTTCGGGACTCGAAGTACGCTTTTGATCGAATCAATATTTTGCTAATGGTTCATTCGGTGTTATCCGGCATCAAGTGAAATTCTAATCGATTGGTTGGTTGCATTTGTGGACAGATTACCGAGGGTGTATGCATATCAATCACACCTGTTCGTCTAAGGTTCCATTTTTTGTCTCTATCACTCCACGTCGTTGTGAACAATAAGGACTTACCCTCTTCTCTGAGAAGTGCTAAAATATGTTGTTTTGATGAATAGAAAACAAAAGGCGTTTGACTCATAAGTACACACCTGTCTGACTGGTATCAATCCTGTTCATCAAATGAATCGATACGACTAATTTTGATGTATGAACTGGACTTTAGATTCACGCGGTTGCGACAAACCTGAGTGACTGTGGATACTGTGCATCCGGAGTTCAACGACTCGATTGCATGCCAACTTGACACGCTTAAATTGATGGAGTGATTAGTACACAGTGACTGTGGACGATTACCGTGGTTACAACTAATGTTTGTATTTCGCATACATTTTCCTAATCATGACTATTGCATCCACAAATAAATCAGTGAATATTGTGGTGCAGTCGGTATTATTCAGTTGCAGTAGGTGCCACAGGGTAAAACAACTGAGTGAAAAAGTTGAACTTGTAATTTATCCGATTGTTTTCATTTAAACAAGAACAAATTTTTGGCTTTTAGAAGATGTTGATGACAGGACGATATGATAATATAATAATAATAATACCACAGTAATGGTGATTCTAGTTCAGCGCGGAAAATGTTGATAGCTTGAGCTGAACGTTGAAAAAAACACCGTTATCAATACAACGTCAAGTCATCATGAAAAATAAGTGCAAATCAGGCTGTGGTTGATGCTTTGGGAAGAGAAAATCAGAATTTCGACGGAATTTACATTGTAGTTAATGGAAGATGATACGTATGAAAAGCGATTCATGGTACAAAAAAGGCCTGATTCACAATTAGTCTCCCTGCCCCCTCCGTCTCCAATGAAATGACTACAGACAAGCAAAATGAATATTTATCCAAACGAAACTTGTGTTTTATACCATCGCACCTTAACCCGTAATCTGTGTGCGTTTGACATAATCTCAGAAATGAACGGGAAACTAGATTAATGGGACAGTTGAAGAGCTTTCTGTTGTACACAATACCGCCAGGATAATTAACTTTTCCAAATATAACCGTCATATTAGAGGTCCGGATTGACGAATACGTTTTCACTCAAGGTAGCCTAGAACGTCAAGGTTGAGCAAATCACGAGATGTCTCAGCACACTGTAGTCTAGTATTCATTTATATTAAGTAGTATGTAAAATGCAAGTGATGGATATTGCCCATCCCAGTGAGCCGAGACTGTAATATTCTCATTTCAAAACAGTTGTCCCGTTTGGAATTTTCAGTTTTATTTCACCATGTGAACAGTATGAGATATGCGAATCTATAAGAAACCTGGAACTTTTCACCGTACTGTACCCACGGAGGGGGATAAGGACAAAGAACTCACAGGTTTCGGATCACTGGTACCTGACAGAGTCTGAATAATTGCATAGACAGATGCAAAACAATGGTTGGATTCGCGATGCAACCAAAGGATACTGATAACTCTGAATGAAATTTTGGTCCGAGCTCAAGTTCCAATAACACCTTCGAGGCATGCGCCCGACCCTATGGGGACTAAGCGGATCACGGATTAGTAAGGATGAATTCTACAAGGTCGATGCGGGTTCTGACTATCGACTGGTTCTGCCCCATTTTCGAAACACTGAGATCACAATGAAGGTGCCGAAAGTTGACAATAATTGCCCTGTCATTTCGGTCACAAAGAGCAAAAACAGATGTAGATATTTGTGTTCGAGTACAGAATGGTTATAGGCGTTGAGATGTTACTTAGCAAATACTCAGCCAATGGAATTGTTCAGTTCATCCTGAAAATGAGGGTAGTTTGCAAGCCCCAAGTAATTATTGTTTTAGTCATCGTTTGCATAGGATTTTTATACGATTGTTTGTATAGGATTCGAATCAAAAACAACTAAATGTTTCGATAAGAAAGAGCAAAGTCCAATTATAGGTATTTCTCAAAGTTGAAGATAATCATGGGTTTGCCTTTTTCATTGTACACAGTTGATTTAACGAGTGAATTAGTTAGTTTATTAATCACCAGCCCCTAAAGAGACTGTCAAATTGGTTTATCTGAAGTTCCGTATTAGGCTTCTATCAATCCACCTCGTCGTGAACAATATGAACTTACCTTCTTTTCAGAAAAATCCTAAAATGTGATATTTTGATTGGGGAGAAAAACCGTTGCCTCATAATTACACAATATTCTGACTGACATCAACCATATCCGTCATATTAAGTGACACGCATAACTCAAATTTGTATGTATGGAGTGAGCTTTATTTGCTAGCCACATTGATTTATGTGGTCGTGACTACCGTGTGTTTGTGGATATTGTGCAATATGAGTTAAACAGCTCGGTGGAATCCCTATGTGATACGGTTAGGCTGATGATGATTGTTTAGTACACAATCACTCTGGACGAATAACTTGGTTACAAAGAATGTTTGAATTTGGCATCCTGTTTGAGGTTAGCATCCCAAACAAACGGGCTTATAAGTGGTGCTTCTTGAATTTAAAACTGTGTGTCGGTACAAGTTTGAGAATAGACAAGCATGAGTGAGTGAGTGAAAAATAACTTTCGGTACAACAGCGGCTTAGGTCTCAATACCTCCGATGACGCAACAATTAAAGTGCGATTTATCTAATATGCAGTTTAGTTCACTCAATCCTATTGAGACGCCTGATATTGATATCGGATTGGGGAAATAATGGTGTTTTGTGTGCGTGATTGGGTAAAATAGAAATGATCGGCCACTTTTAACCGTAACCGCGTGTTGCGGACTGTCAAATTCAATTGAACAAAACAGCAGATGATTGTTTGACCTTAGCTATCCGCGGAAACCGCGAGTGTTCAATGTATCGGATTGTTTTGCGGTACGGGATTTACAAGTCCTATTGCTAGCAATCAAATCCTTAAAATTGCACACATGAGTGAAGAGAGTGAATTATAGATGTTCATTATAGAGTTTCATTTCCCCGTGTGAATGATGCGATGTGCCGGTGGGGAAAAGAACCAAACAACCAAATAACAGCTTCCTTTTTGCGGTATTCCAGATAAAAATAACGCAATGAGATAAAGAACTCACAGGTTTCGGGGCAGTTAGCCCCTGCAGAGTCTGAATAAATGAACGTAAAGAAATGGAAAGAACAGTGATGCTGCTTAACGTGGATACCGTATGAAAGCATACGATTAGCCAGCCCCCGTACGTGCGTGAAGGCCACGGTTTCCTAAAATCCACC